CCAGCTTAAAAGAGGGTCTCCGATCACGTAATGCTGCAGCTTGGATAGTAGTATCCGATGGTCTAGACGATCGAAAAGCTTGGAAAAATCCAGGTAGATCACATCAACACCTTCTCCAGCGTCGGCTGCCAAGGTCCAACTACTGCGTACAATGAGTAAATTAGTTGTACATGACCGCTGTCGACGGAAACCGTGCTGATCAGGGGTGATGAGGTTGCAGTTTTCCAGATAGCACACCAGTGCATCGGCAACTATGGGTTCCATGACCTTGGAGAGTATAGGAAGAAGGGTTACTGGACGCTAGTTGGAGGGATCAGTTCTGCTTCCACCTTTGTGAATCGGGGTTATTATTCCAAGCTTCCACATGGCGGGAACTTGGTTCCGGTCTAAGCAGTGCTGGAAAAACTGAGCTAAAGGGCCTGCCGGTTGGTTTGCTGCTGCTCCCAATGCCTCAGGACGAATGGCGTCGACACCCGGTGAGCTGTGTTTGCGTAGAGAAGTCAGCTTTTGCAATACAGCCTCTGCAGTAAAATTGATGTGGGTTAGTCTTGGTGAGCAGAATACAAAGCTTGGTAGATCGCTTGGTGGCAAGACCCTTTGAAACTTGGGGGCGTATTGTATCTGCAGCGCGTTTGCAGCTTCCATAGATGTTCTTGTTGGGCCATCAGCCGTCTTGAGTGGAGGAAATCCTTGCCTCACCTTTCGTAGGCTATTAACGTGCTTGTACAGCAGTTTGTGGTTAGCACTGAAGGTTTTTGCGATGTTCTGCTGATAGGCGGCTTTGTCTTCTCTTAACAGTTGAGTGCAGTGGTTACGTTGGGCTACGTAGTTGTCCCATGTTTCTGGTGCTGGAGCTTCTCTGTACACTAGCCATGCTGCGTTGCGTACTGTCATCCATATTCGGGTTCTGCTCCTAACGAAAGAAACGGATTTGCACTTATTGTAAGCTTTTATCTCTGAAGCCTGTGCAATCAGCAGACTGAATGTGTTGACGAACTCGAGCCAGGCAACTTCTGGGGGTTCTTCTTCGAGGAAAGACCAGGTTGTGGCGCTGACTAGCTGGGCGAGTCGGTCGTACCTTGTGATGGTTCGCACAGTATCATCGTTATCATTCCGATATTCTGCATAGCAGACGAAGTTGAAACTGATGACTGCGTGATCACTGCGACCCAACGGGCAGTCTAAAACCAACGCATCAATCATATGCTCCTCGTTGGTAAGCACAAGATCCAACACAGATGACCTGTTACCAGTTCTGAACCGAGTGGGCAAAGTGATGTGGTTGTAAAGAGGAGCAGTAGTTACTAGATCTTGTAAATCGGTTTTGAATTGTTCGCCGGTTGTGGCAGGGGCTTCTAAACAATGTACGTTGAAATCACCCATGATAAGAATGTGAGTGTACTTTTGTTGTAAACTGCACCTTAAAGCAGCCATTAGGTGGTAGTAGGTTTCGGGTGTTGAGTTAGGGGCGCGGTACACCAAGATAATAAGGCAAGCGTCCCTGCCTTTTAACTGCAACCGGCACCAAAGAGAGTCGGGGAACTGCGAATCTGAATCCTCCACGGCTTCGCACTGTAAGTCGTTTCGGTAGTACAGGATTACCCCTCCTCCTTTTGTGAGCCTATCGTTCCGGATCAGCGACATGCCGGGTAGCGACACCTCAGCGTCCGTCATTCCCGTGTGCAACCATGTCTCGGTGATACCAATGACATCATACGAGCCGGAAGCTTGGCGATCTTTCAGTTCAGCCAGTTTGTTAGAAAGTCCCTGAGCATTTGTATACAATCAGGCCAGTTTCTCGGTCTCTAGGAGCCCGCAGGGAGGTGAAGCTGTCAAGTGTGGGAGAATGCCGACCGATGGGAGGTCGGCAGTTATTCGTTTTTTTGATGGGCCAATGATACCTCGTTTGCAACTTGATTCGGCCAAGGTGCGTCCCAGCCTTCGTTTAGACCTACTTCAGAGCCAATTAAAGCAGCAGTCAAGTTACACTTATGGACGTTCGTCAGTATGCTTGCTGCTTCAGTTGCTTTAATACTTGAGCTGTGCAAAGGGTTTGCGACCTTTAACCGAATTTCGGAAGGAAGATGTTTCCGATTTCTTCGCCATCGATCCAAAACATCCTTTGCTTGTTTCTCTGACTGAACCACAAGTTTTAGGATTCTAGAGCCGCATCCTCTATAATTCGGTGAGAGAGGTATCCTGGTGAGCGATAGTGCCACAACATCATCCAAAGAAAGTGTTTCACGAATGAACCGCCACCGTTCTAAATCGTGCTTTCCGGTATCTTGAACATGGTTAGAAGGATGTTCTGGCACTCCATGTATGAAGACTGTGTTTAGGCGGTCTTGCTTGCTGTGCCCCTCTTCGGTGTTTCGTTTTGGTTGTCGCGCGCTCCAAGGGACATCAGGATAGATACGTATTGCACAGGATTCGTGTTTTAGCGCGCTTGCGGACAGCAAAACATTTTCCACGTCGGTGGAGGATTCTAGAATTACTCGAATAAGTCTGGGTTCACCATAGTGTGGCGAGTTCGGATGACGAGTAATTCGTAACAAGTTTACGGGCTTGGCTTTGACACTCATCTGCATATACAATGAGTTCCATTGGTCTTGGTCGTCTGATAACTTATCCCGCAATGTGATGGCGGTAGATTCAGGGACATTTGAGCATACAACAGTCCGGGCACTGTTGTTGGATCCCTTTTTAATCGATCTACAAGGTATGGTACTCATTTGTCTTGACTTGTTGACAAGTGATTGTTTGCTCTTTTTCTCTACATTTGCGTTAACGGTGTTTACAATGGAAGAGGACGCAACGGCGGCCTCTCGGTGGACCCTTGCAGCAATCTCTGCATAAGTAACTGGTGTTCTGGGAGGCTTAGTCTCGACAAGAGATATTTGAGCTACAGGTACCAAGGGTTGGTGTTTGGCTGATCCATCCTTGTTAATACTAGATGTCAGGTCTAGTGGAATTTGCTTAACCAGACGTTTTGAATGGTGCCTGATTTTCTTTGCTGTGATTACTGCTTGATTCACGTAGGTACAGTCTGTTTTCGCCTGGCGTTCTACCAAAGTTGGAGAAGACAACAGAGATGGAGACATGGCTGATTGCGGTGCAGGCGAAGCGATTTGTTCAGCATTCCGTTGCTTAGCAGCCTCTACGCTTCTGTGGTCCATACTCGCTCCCATTGAAGTAATCTCATTGTTTATCCTCTGCTCTGCTTCTGCGATTAACCGGTCGCATTTCTCAGCTAGGATAAGCAAGCACTTAACGAGGGGGATGGTGGAACACGCAGTACAGAACCAAAAGGCATCTTGGGAGCTATTTCGCTCCCGTAACTGTTGTTGGGACACATTTGCACATTTCGTATGGTACCATTCCAAACAGTGCGAACAAGCCAGACCGATTTTTACTACCCGATGACATTCTCCTAACCCGCAAATGCCTTTCGATGGGAGTCTCTTCGGTTTCGCCTTTCTGCCATTCAATTTGGTGTCGTTACCTGACCCAGTGGGTTGGTTAGCGTTCTGTACTTTTACAGCTTTGAGAGCGGCGCACATCGGTCAGGCGAGCGTGGTGGTTGCAAGGTCAAATGAGTGGTCGGCGTGGTCGCGCGGTCCGTGTGATGGGTAATGCAGCTGCACTGGCTGACAAGGTCACAAGGAATGGCGAGTGACTGCAACCTGAACAGAGCGCTGAACACAGATTCTTTCACAGCTGTGTTGAGAAACACTGGATCGTAGTAAGCTTAGGCTTTTCGGCCTGCCTCGAGAATTCTGTATCGAATGGTGTCACACAGAATGGCAATCGGCTCAATACGATTGAATTAAACGCTTGCGCTTAATCACAGATGCCAGTGAAAATGCTTAGTGATGGCACAGCCTCTAATTGCACATGACGCCAACCGGTGATCCCAATTATCGTGCACGCTAAAAATTTTATGAATGACAAAAGGCCTGGCTGATTTGATTAACTAGCTCACCGACAAAAACAATTGCCCAAATGATGAATAAAATTGGTAGTGGCCAGCGTGCTTTTAAACCAGACTAATACATGACCAGTTGGGGCATGGAGGTGTGGATTAAACCTCTGAGGAACAATGATTTATAACGGGTAAAAAGCAGGTGCTTGACATGTCCCGTAGGGTGTTTAGTGTGATAAAAAAGATAGGGAAGGGATAATGGAGTCGTCAGTTCAGGCGCTTACAGATGTAACTGCACTGTCGTATAAAGGAAGTATGAAATGAGAATGTAAGCACACAAAGCAACAGGAGAGTGGTTATTGTTCACATCATAGGCGAGAAAAATAAAATGGTAGCAAGGACAACGCTTACTCGTGTGCAACTATCTTGGGTCGATAGGATACAGTAATCCAGTTTCTGTCGTAGTAGCGTTTATCAAATTTCGTGCAAGGCGTTTGGAATGACTCATTCTCGAGTAGGGTTATGGCACTATCCCCTGTCTGTTGTGCATTAGTGCCAGCATCTGTTGGTCATGAGCTATAGAACGTAGTGTAAATGTGACAGGGTATCGTCAAGGCGTTTTTTGAAAAGGGATAGGGTGGGCGCATTAATTACATGTTCCAGGAGGGTGTTCCAAGGCTGTGCCACTTGAAGGGAGAAATAGTTTCGCCGACATTCCAGGCGGCTGTACTGCGTGACTAACTTAAACTGGTGACCTCTTAACGAGGTGTTTTGACTGAGTATTAGAACGGAATGGTATGGGTGGTTGGGGTCTCTCAGGATTAGGTACACCATTATGAGATCGCCCCTTAGACGCCGATAACGTCCACTGTATATTTTGAGGGTCTTCAGCCTGAGTGGGTAGGGGAGGCTGGTCAAACCTCTGACGTTTTTCGCCGCCCTACGTTGTGCAGTATCGAGCGCGGTGAGATGGTGCTTGAGCCAGGGTTGCCACGCTTGGATAGAGTATTCCGCGTGCGGCCTCACGTACGCACTAAGCATTTTTGGGAAGACTGAAGGGTCAAACTTCCCGAAGGCTCTACGAAGAAGGCCGGTACCGGTTCGCTTTCTTAGCTGCCTTTTCAGTCTGCCGTGAACAACCGAGGTCATCTTGAACTATCACACCGAGTTCGCACTCGTGAGAAGCCCGCTGTAGAATTTGTGGTCCTAGGCGGTAGTTGTGCATACTGTTGTGCCGTATACTGAGAACTTTGCACTTGGTGACGTTGAAATGCATCATGTTCTCGATGGACCATGTGTACGCTTCGTCCAGGTCCTCCTGTAAGAATGTGTGATCATCCACTGCAGCTATAGTACGCCATACCTTTAGGTCATCAGCAAATAGCAAACAGTTAGAAGATAGCACACTCGCGAGATCATTTATGAAGACCAGGAACAGGCGGGGTCCAAGTACCGAGCCCTGAGGTACGCCGCATTGCACTTCGATGGATTCTGATAGGTTGCTTCGAACCCTCATATTCAGGTGACGTTGCAGGAGAAAGTCCCCTATCCAGTAAAGAACAGGATCACCGATTCCATATTTTTGGAGTTTGTGGTGGAGAATGCGATGGTCTATGTGGTCGAATGCCTTCGAGAAATCCAAGTAGGCCGCGTCGACTTCTGCACCAGCGTCCACAGATTCCGTCCAGCTTGCACGAGCAATCAAGAGATTAGTTGTACAGGAGTGATTTTGGCGAAATCCATGCTGTTCCGGAACGAGAATTTGGTTGTTCTCCAGGTATCCCATCAAAGCCTCAGCTACAATGGACTCCATAACCTTGGAGATCACAGGCAGTAGTGTTATCGGGCGATAATTTGCTGGTTCAGCACGGCTACCACTTTTGTAGATAGGCGTGATGATTCCGTGCTTCCACATCGTGGGGACGTGCATCTCGTTCAGACATCGTTGAAAGAAAATTGCTACTGGTCCTGCCAAACTCATGGCAGCAACTTTCAACCCCTTCGCGCGAATGCTGTCCGCACCCGAGGAGCTGAACTCGCGCAAAGACATTAGCCTCTTCAGTACAGCTGCGGAGGTAAACGATATGTGATTAGGTCCTGATAACGGCATTATCTGCTTAGGTAGGATGTATGATGATTACACGCTTTGGAAGGTACGGCCAAATTGTTGTCCAAGAATGTTGGCCGCCTCTTGTGCGGTTTGGGCTAACCCGCATGCTGTGTGCAGAGCAGGACTACCGCGCTTTATACGGCGCAAATTGTTTACGTGTCTGTATAGCAGTTTGGGATTGTAGCAAAACTTTTCCACTAGACCTTGTTGCTTCTTCAGTTTATCCTCCCCGACAAGCTTGACACAGTGGTTCCTTTGTGTTGTGTAGACATCCCAGGAATCGTCGTTCGGGGAAGCTGTGTAGGTGCGCCATGCCAAATCCCTTAATGCCATGCATTTACATGTCCTGCTCCTTACGAAATACTTCATCCTTTTAGGCCGGTAGGGTTTGGTTTCAGATGTGCTTGCCACGAGCTTGTTACATATATTGACGAATTCTCTGCAGGCCACCTCAGTGGTCAATTCGGCTAAGAACGACCAGCATGTTGCATCAATGAGGTCGGACAGGTCGTCATAGTTGGTTACGAAACGATATTCCTCGGTATGCTCTTTAGGGTAATCCGCGTAGCACATGTAATGAAACAATAGCGTCACATGATCACTGCGGCCCAAAGGAGTATCTGTTATCACTCTCTCGACCATCAGTTCTTCATTGGTGAATATTCGGTCCAAAATGGATTGGCTGTCAGTTCCCCTGAATCTGGTGGGCGTAGTGACGTGGCCATAAAGAGGGTAGTCTGAAACCAGATCTTGCAACTCTGCTTTGAATTGCTCTCCTGGTGTGGCCTGGGATTCGAGGGCATGTAAGTTGAAGTCACCGGTGATTAGAATGTGACTGCACTTCCTCTTTATCACTTGACTCAACGCAGCCATCAAATTGCAGTCCATCTCAGGAGTAGACGATGGTGGGCAGTAAACAACAACCAATAGGCCAACATCGTTCCCTTTCAGCCGGAAATTACACCAAATGGCGTCAGGTACCTCGGTTTCCGAATCGTTTATGCGTTCGCATTGCATGTTGTTACGAAAATAAAGGGCCACCCCACCACTTTTACTGGTTCGATCATTCCGGACAACGGACACGCCCGTTAGTGCAATCTCAACATCCGTTATCTCGCAGTGCAACCACATTTCGGTGACAGCGATGAGGTCCCAAGCTGCAGACGCGTGTCGAAGTCTTAATTCTGCTAATTTGCTGAGTAGACCTTGGGTATTTGTGTACATGCATGAGAGTTTCTCGGAGACCAAAAGTGTGTTAGTGTGGATGGATGAAGCAAGTGAGTTTACGCCGACCAATAAAGGGTCGGCGACTAATCGTTTATTGGATGGGTTGCATACTCTCGAGAAGTATTTGATATATAAGCAGGTATCAGATGCCCCGAATCCCGATGTTTGCTCGTGCTCTGCTCTGCCCCTCCGGATAGTATGGCTACTCTTGAAACCGTCCCTGAGTTGGTTCCTGCAGTTGGCGTTTTCCCTAAGAGTTGTGCCTCTACTGAATTGTCATTAGAAGGTGTTGGTGTTCCTGCTGCTTTCAACCGAATTTCTCTTGACAATCTGCAACGGAATTTAATCCAGTTCACTAGTAGGGTTTGTGCCATTAGTTCTGACTGTAATACAAGTTTTAACAGCCTGGGACCGCACCCCTTATAGTTTGGTGATATGAAGATCCTTGTCAACGAGGTGACCACCACATTTTCGAGAGAAAGAGCCTCCCGGATGTAGTGCCATTGGTCGCGGTCATGCATCTGGTCATCGTCGGAAGAGGAGTCAGTAAGCTCAGGAACACCGTGAGCAGTCACTGTTTTCTTATCTTGACTTATTCTTTAACCATCTTTGTTAGCGCGATCCCCTGAAGGTTCTTTCCACGGGATTTCGGGTAGTATGCGCACTCCACTTGAGTCGTTGCGGAGACGATTCGCAGACAGCAGAACGGCCTCAGTCTCTTCCGCCGAGTTTAGTGTTACCCGAAGTAAACGGGGTTCGCCGTAGTGCAACGCGTTTGGGTGGCGCGAGATTCTTCTTAATTTCGTGGGATTAGCATGGACACCGATCGACGTATAGATGGAACCCCACTGATTTCGATCGTCCGTCAACTTACCCTTAATTGTATTGGATTTGGATTCGGGGACATTTGGGCATACAATGTTTAGGGCACCATGGTTGCGCCTGGTGGCTACTGGTTTTGGATTTGGAGGCTCAGTATCCGGTGTTTTTGTTGAATTTGTGAACGGCATTGGTGTGTGCCATCAACACTGTTGGTCAATTTCCAGTACGCGTCTGGATGACGATCATGCTCTAGTGTGCGCACGCTTGGCACTCACTGTTCCTGCTTCAAAGAAGCGCCCGACATGTATGCCTCGCATTTTCAAATTTAACTCTCGCATCATGACGAACTGGCTCGCCAATGGCCAGAGTTGAATGAGGTTGGTGAGCTTGACTATTGACATCATCTTAAATGTGTCATGACGAACGCTTTTGCCATTTGCCAGACAGCTTGGCACACACGCTATCATCTTCCAGTTCACCTGCCTCTGTAGTGACACCTATATATGGGGGTACCAAATGAATTCATAACGCAGGCGTAACTGTGGCATCATGGTGTGTGGCATACTTCGATCAAGCTTTGGAGGTGTTTAGGCTTGTTCGACATACAACGTGAGCAACGATTGTCCAACATGAAAAGAGTTCCACGCAATGCCCCGTTGTCCTGTGTTTACGTCATTGAATGCCCTAACCTTACAACCGAAGGACGTCTGCACTCTAGTCGTGGCCCATCCATCAGCGCTGTGCGCCGTTGATCCACTTGGATAGGCCAATACGAGCTCCCCTACATATACTGTCTTCAGTATGGTTGATGCTCACAGCGTTGGATTGCCGATACGCCTCCGTTTGAAGCCGTACGCATCTAACCTTTAATTGGATCTACGCACAATGACAAAAGGAGTCACACGTATGCGCCATCCGGTGGAGTTAAGGACGGAATATTGAACACCTATGAAGAAGGCCATAACGGGAAGCAGGTTGCACCGGTGTTAAATGTCAATCTGATAAGTTGCGGAAGTTGAATTAAAACGTTAGAGTCAAACGAACCAAAGGGAAAACGTGGCGCAGCACGTCGAAATTTACTAACTGATATCCACATGGATTTTTTGGTAGAATGGGTGGAAGCAGAGCCTAGGAGAACTTTTGAATGTCTTCATTTCCGATTGAAAGCGGAGTTCAATATGAAGCGTCGGCACAGTAGCTCGGTACTTAAAAGGTCGTCACATTGCCATGAAAAACCCACATGTTATACCGGAGTCGATGAATACGCTTGAGAACAAGAAGCGCAGGTAGTCGTACGTATAGCAATTCACGAACTTGGAAGCTGGAGGGTGTCAAGCAGCTTGGATTGATGGAATGGATTCCAATCTGTTTTCCGCACGCACAAGAGGGCGTTCAGCACGTAGCAGACGTGCGCAGTGTACTGTAGCGAGTCTTCGTGGACAAAATTTGCACCTTATCAGCGCGATGACTGCAAATGGACTTCCAGGGTACATCGTCCTAAGGGGGGAGTTGCAATAAGGGACGGTGTCCACGGTGGTTGCGGCAAATGCTTGATGTCATCGACACCGCTGTTACTGAAGGAAATCGGTTGAACTGTTACGTCGCATTTGGAACTTGTGTTCCAAGAGGGGCGATACCAGTCATGTAGACTCTTGCGACACGCAGCATATACTGCTTCACTGAACCCGATAGAAGTCATTTGGATGGTCATCAAGGCAATCGTGTAACAATCCAGGCGACAGCGATATCCCGAGATGGTCCGATGCCATCCAGCTTGTGCTCTCAGTAAAAGAGAATACAGTATCTAGTTCCTAAAAATGATTATATCAGATGCATGAGCCTGCGTTACGCAACACCATTGTATACAAATGGCTGAACAAGTCAGTACGAAGTACCCGCGCGCAATACACGTAATAGATCTGTAATCAGTTGTCGTGTCGCCGATTCGCCTGATTTTGTCTTTCACCGACATTTTTGTTTAAAAGCCAAGTAAAATTGTCGTGTGATACAGCTCTCCAATTTTGCAGCACTCCAATGTACCGTCGACAACCGTAACCTGGGAAACTATAATACTGTATTTTTACTTAAGCGACGAGTCCGGTCTGATCTCGCCTGCTGAGAAATCCTAGCAATTACCATGGCAGCTGCAAAGCTCGTGGTGTTGGCGGACAACCGTTAACAGTTGGTTAAGTGAGCAAATGAGTGTCTTTGACGTCGCGAGAACATTCAGCACGCAGGTGCAACCACCGTGGGCAGGAACTGATAAGTTGTTTCCGCGAATGCTGTGTTGAGAAACGCATACAACTAGGTAGAAGTCATCCGATGGGCCAATTAGTGAAGGCGCAGTGGATAATTACTACCTGGGGTCAAACACAACCCACGGTTCGGATATCAAGCAAACCACCTTTACCAAGTACGGCACAGTTGTGTACTTGTGGCATACTGATTCGCATTTCCACCAACCCCGCGTAGGCGCTGCGCCAATTCGCGGTGTGCAAACTACACCCGCCTAATGTAATTACATACAGAGCAGCACATGCGAAGTGTCATTAACCCATTAACCGTTTCACAGTTGATGTAGTGTCTTCCCGAAAATTTCATGGCCGCAGATAGCGCATTGCAGTGCAGATAACAATGCCGTTCTTATCTGTCTAACGGATGATTCCTTACACTCACCAGCTTTTGACAGGTAACTCGGTGGCACCAAATGTCATGGCACGTTTCATGTCCTGCTCGCACGGTACAGTGATAGCGCGCAAAGAAAAACCCACCTACATAGATGGGTAAATGGCTACAAGTGCGTTCACTTAGCAAACGCAATGGAAACCATGAGGCAAGCGATACGAAATATTCCCCAGGAGCAAGCTCAGTCGAACAACGGCGTAACAAAGGCAACAGGCGAGTGAAACGTCGAGCGCCCTATCAAGCACGTCACCCAATCACAGTGAGGATGTCAATGTGCAGCGCGCGCGCCTCATCCTGATTCGAATCGACACATCCATCAAGCGCAGACCTTTCAACATTGCGCTCAGTGAGCATGCCACACCCCGAAATACACCTCGGTCCACACGCTCTCACTGCCCCTCCGGTGTCACTAGCCAGAATTCCATGCCAGCCGATCCTCGTCACCAGTATGTATGAGCGACTTTATGTCATTCTTCGGAACGGAAAATTCATTCGCATTCAGTCATGTGGGTTGGTAATATACGGACAGCTCAGCGCACTCATAGTTCACGTAGAAATGCGAATGTCTGAAAGGCTACCCGTCAACCACCATGATCAGTCGTGACTGCTAAGCGCACGTGAGTTTTACTAATATACCCCTTAGCATGTGTGTGGCTTCAGTGTGGCCAGTCATGCCTGAATACCAGTGTCCAGCGCCATTGGGCACCCACGAAATCGTACGGGATCTGCGCCACACCCATGCCTACTCTGGGAGCCCATGTCGTAAACTCGTCTGAAATGCTATTGGTTGATTTGGGATTGCTCACTCAACGAGTGGCGTGTTTTGGGACGTTCGCGCCCGTAGGATGATATGTGATTGCACTAAGACGTATGTATGAACCCGATTTCCTTAAGGCTAAGTTCGAAACCGTTATGGGTGCAATTAACTGAGAAAAGACATAGTGTCGACTTACACGCAATAGCGGAGTGTCGCTCCGGTCCAGTCAAACGGACAACGTCAGTTCATCTGTTTCTATTTGGAGCCTTCAATCCTCCACTAGACTGGCAGGCCACAATGTGCGCACGTTGTTGCAGACTGGCCAACATGCAGCGATTGACCGAACACTGCAGACACTATCAATCGATATCTGATGCTTATCGGAAACCCGCCTGTAAGATATAAGTTCCGTGAATACGCTACGATCCCCAACGTGCGACACTGGCGGTATTTTCTCATTATGCTTGTTGGGAGATGGCTGCGCTTCAAATGCCGGTCAATCCGGTGTGAGCGTTTATCTTAGCCTCCTAGCTGAAGCTATCCTGATCGATTGGATCAAAATGAACAGCCGGATGTGCGTTACCAGATTGGCTTGCTCGTTTCAAGCATCGAAGCCGCGTGGGAACAAACAGTGCTTGCTTGTCACTGCGGCATACGCGACCAGAAATTGTAGCGTTGACTAGGTGAAGGACGACTTTTAGAACCAATTGAATGCGTTTCCCCATTACAGAAA